GTCTGGAGCTTTACACTTTTCTGTACACAGGAGTGAGACGGGGGTGAGGGGGCTGAGACACGGTTTGAACAGAGGCCTCTCAGGCACCTTGGCTGAACCACGTGTGTTGTTACCACACCACAGGCTGCCGGCTGTCACCTCCGCAGGGCCTGGGCTGGGCTGGGCTGTCTGGTCTCTGACAGATTTCACGTCCATGGGCCGTTATTATCATGACTAGTGCGTTTATCACCCACCCACCCCAGGACTCAACGCCCTGTGCTCGGCTGGGGAACTCAGTGTGGGGGGGGAGGCTGACGGGCTCCCACTGTGTCGTCTTCAGCCCTTACACACAACTTCCCTGCTGGGCAGAGGGAACACTTCATGGCCTGGCTGCACGTTAACTTTGAATCTGGCTCCAGCTCCTGATCTAACCTCACCCTGGGGGCCGGGGGCGGAGGATTGGGAGGCAGGAAGGGAGTTAGACAAATAACGGAGTTAATATTTCTCTCGTTCTGTTTGCAGTGTTGCTGTAGCCGAGTTGGTCCCAGGAGATTAGAGAGATGAGGTGGGTGAGGCAATCCTCTTATTGGCCCAGTAAAATATAGGACCTCACCCACCTGGTCTCTGTAATTCTGTAGAGCTTCACCCCAAAGATCCCAGGCTCTACCCCAGCTACACACAGGGACCACGTCAGCCAGCAGCCAAGTGCAGCTACCCGTGAGGGGAGCGGGGGGGGCTTCTTCTTGGCAACAGCCCCTAGGACCTCAGCATGATTCACCCTGGGGTAGCTAAGGAACTGGCTGAAGCAGTCTCAGAACCGTTAGCAATTATCTCACAGAACTCCAGGAGGACGGGCGAGGCCCCAGAGGTCTGGAGAAGGGCAGACAGGGCCTGTCTTTAAAAGGGGGAGCGAAGAGGACTCTGAGAATTAGAGACCGGTCAGCCTGACTTTGTCCCCGGAAAGACACTGGAACAAATTATTAAACCATCAATTTGTAAGCACCTAGATAATGATGGGGTTGTAAGGAACAGCAGCATGGATTTGTCAAGAACAAATCATGCCAAACCAACCTAATTTCCTTCTTTAACAGGCTCACTAGCCTAGTTGATGGTGTTGTTAGATGTTTGGCTGCGTGTGTGTTCTCTCTGTGTGCTGCCCCAGCTCTGCGCAAAACAGCTGGCACAGCTGACCTTGAGCGAACCGCCCAATGACCACAAGACCCGTTAAGGGGCGAAGGCACCCAGCCAGGTTTATTGTGGACAAAGCATGGTAATAGCACCTGGCGGACTCTACAGGTACACTTAATACATGTATCCCGTGACAATGGACCAGCTCAGTGAATGGCAGGACTTTCCGTTCCCCCCTCGACTGGACCAAGACACTCTCTCAGAGATACCTCTTCATACTCCAATACAAACAATTTACGTAGTGCCCCTCTGACATAGTTACTGCTCCCTGACGTGGATAGTTATCACCCAGCTCCTTGTACATGTTGGTTCAATTAAAACATCTCTATCCATCACCCTGTCATCCTGACCTTATCTTCAGTGTGTTTCTGTTCTCCTTGGGGAATGTTTTTGTACCATCCTTGATACTGGGATGTTCTGGTACCACTCTTCAGGAACGTGTTTGCGTGAGTGCTCTGTGCTTAGCACTTCTCAGGAATGTGCGTTTCTGCAACATCTGCCCTGTTCTTGACGGATTCTGTGAACTTGCAATGGGGCAGAGCCTGACGTTTGCTCATAGCCTGACTTTTGCTAACTTGGCTTTATATCAGCAAAGCTTGGCCACTACTTTAGCTCAGGCCTCATACCAGGCCTCTGATACAAAGGCTCATATCTCAGGCTCTCTTCCTACTACAGCTGGGGGAAGCAGTACACTTGATAGATCTTGGATTTAGTAAGGCTTTGATACAGTCCCACCTGACATTCTCATATGCAAACTAGGGAAACGTGGTCTACAGGAAATTATTATATGGTGGGTGCAGAACAGGTTGAAAGAGCGTACTCAAAGAGGAGTTATCAAGTGAAGTGCCCCAAGGGTCGGTCCTGTGGTTGGTTTTGTTCAATATCTTCATTCATGATCTGGAGGATGATGTGGACTGCACCCTCAGCAAGTTTGCAGATGACACTAAACTGGGAGGAGTGGTAGATATTGTGGAGGGTAGGGATAGGATACAGAGGGACCTAGACAAATTACAGGATTGGGCCAAAAGAAACCTGATGAGGTTCAATAAGGACAAGTGCAGAGTCCTGCACTTAGGACGGAAGAATCCCATGCACTGCTACAGACTAGGGACCGAATGGCTAGGTGGCAGTTCTGCAGAAAAGGACCTAGGGGTTACCGTGGACGAGAAGCTGGATATGAGTCAATAGTGTGCCCTTGTTGCCAAGAAGGCTAACGGCATTTTGGGCTGTATAAGTAGGGGCATTGCCAGCAGATCGAGGAACGTGATCGTTCCCCTGTATTCGACATTGGTGAGGCCTCATCTGGAGTACTGTGTCCAGTTTTGGGCCCCACACTACAAGAAGGATGTGGAAAAATTGGAAAGAGTCCAGCGGAGGCAACAAAAATGATTAGGGGTCTGGAGCACATGACTTATGAGGAGAGGCTGAGGGAACTGGGATTGTTTAGTCTCCAGAAGAGAAGAATGAGGGGGG